CAGGGTGAGATGGAGGGGGGTGGAGCTGGGAGGGGCTGCGGGGGTGCACACACACGGGTAGCAGGGAGGACAGGGCGCCCAGGCAGATGGGGAGCAAGCTGGGCAGCATGGGGGCAGTGCACAGAAGTGCCGGGGGCCAAAACCAAACCGAAAACCAACAACAAGACAGGGTAGAGGAGCAGCGCACCGGTGCGCACGAGGCCGATGCCCTGGGCGCCATTCTTGCGGGCCACCAGCGCGTCGGCGGGCGTATCTGCGTTGGTAAACACACCGATCTTGCGGAACGAGTCCACCCACTCCATGAACACGGCCAGGTTGCCTGCGGGGAGGCAGGGTGGGGTGGGGAGGGGAGGGGCGGGGCAGCAGGAGCAGAGGGTGCTTAACGGCAGGCCGGGAGGCAGGCGGCGCGGTGGAGGTGGCAGCGAGGGGTGAGGCAGGGAAGCCTGGCTGGCGGAGGAGGCAGGAGGTGCGCTCAAGCAGCCCGGTGGAAAGCAGCCCCCGCCGGCGCCCAGCGCAGCGCAGCACCGCCGCCGCGCACCGCTCATGACGGGCGGCTTGACGGGCTGCTTGCCCGCCAGCACCTCGCCGCTGGAGCCGTTGAGTGCCAGCCAGTCTCCCTCCTTCAGCACCTGGCCCTTCAGCGTGGCGGTCTTGGCGGCGTAGTCCACCTCCAGCTTGTCCAGCCCACACACGCAGGGCTTGCCCCAGCCGCGCGCCACCACCGCCGCGTGACTGGTCATGCCGCCGCGCGCGGTCAGGATGCCCTGTGCCGCGTGCATGCCGCCCACGTCCTCGGGAGAAGTCTCCAGGCGCACCAGGATGACCTGCGTGTGTGTGTGTGTGTGTGTGTGGAGGGGGGAGGCACAGCGCTGGGGGCTCAAGATGCGGCGCCTGCACTCTCCTGGAAGGGCTGCATGCTTGCCTGCCTGCCTGCCTGGTTGTAGCACGCTTTTTCCTGCCCAGGCCGCCGCTGGGCTGTCCCCACCCGCCCCTGGGCTGTCCCCACCCGCCCCCATAGCCCCACCTTCTCCCCCTCCTTGTCCCACTTCTCGGCATCGTCTGCGGTGAACACAATGCGGCCCATGGCGGCGCCGGGGGACGCGGGCAGGCCCTTGCCCAGGACCGCCTTCTTGTACTCGGGCTTGTCCACGCCCTGGAACATGGGGTGCAGCAGCTGGTCCAGATGGCGAGGCTCCACCATCAGCACCGCCTCCGCGCGGCTCACCATCCCCTCCTTCTCCATGGCCACAGCCACCTGCGGGGAGGGGCGGCGTGTGGGGCAGGGGCGGGCGGGGTGGTTGGGTTGAGCGAGCCGGGAGCAGGCATTGGAGCAGGCATCGCCTGGTTGGCTCTCACAGCACGGCAGCAGCTGGCCAGGCATGCCTGGCTGCAGGATCGGCGACAGGGCTGGGGCAGGCACGGCGGGCGGGTCCAGCGTGCAGCTGCGCCGGCCGGGCTGCTGGTGGGCTCACCATGAGCGCGGCGGGCCCCGTGCGCTTGCCGTTGCGCGTCTGCAGCATGAACAGCACGCCGTCCTGCACCGTGAATTCGCAGTCCTGCATGTCACGCATGTGGCGCTCCAGCAGCGTGGTGTTGTCCACCAGGTCCTGGTAGGCTGCCGGGAAGTTGTCGGCCATCTGCGGGGGTGCAATGGGGTGCAATGGGGGGCAGAACAGGCAATGGGTGGCAGGCGGCGTGAAGGGTGGAAGGGGAGCGACACAGGGGGCAGGCAGGGCCCAAGCGGCGTGAAGGGTGGAAGAGGAGCAACACAGGACGCGTGAAGGGTGGAAAGCGAGCAGCACAGGGTGAGGCATGCGGGCAGGGCAGGGGAGGTGGATGGGCGGCCAGGCATGATGACGCAGCTGGCGGCCGAGCCGCCGTGCCCGGCCCTGCGGCTGCCGCAGCCTTGCTCACGTGCTTGACGTCCAGCGGGGTGCGGATGCCCGCCACCACGTCCTCGCCCTGCGCGTTGGGCAGGTACTCGCCGTACAGCAGCTTCTCGCCGGTGGCGGGGTTGCGCGTGAAGCACACGCCTGCGCGGGGCAGCGGGGGGCGAGCAGGCAGGCAGGCGGGCAGGGGTCAGGGACGAGAGGGGGAGCAGGAGCGGAGGGAGGCTCCGGCAGCCAGCGGGGCCCAGCCGGGGGCCAGCCGCGGCGGCGCACCTGTGCCCGAGTTGTCGTTGAGGTTGCCGTACACCATGGACTGGACGTTCACGGCGGTGCCCAGCAGGCCGCGGATGCGGTTGATCTCCCTGCAGAGGAGCGCAGGCAGGCAGGGCAGGGCAGGGCAGGGGGCACCGTTGGTGCAGCTGCGCATGCTGTGCGCATACGGCCGCCCGCCACAGCTGTGGCCTGAACACCCAGGCAGCCTGGCCAGCATGCTCGCCCCAAGCCTCCCGCCGCCTCCCGCACCTGCCCGCCTCCCACACCTCCCCGCCCACCACACCTCCCGCACCTCCCCCCCCCAGCCCCCACCTGTACTTGACTGCGCGGGGCGTGTTCCAGGATCCAAACACGGCGTTGATGGACAGCAGCATCTGCTCGTAGGGGTCGCTGGGCAGCTCCTTGCCCTCCTTCTGATACACCGCCTTGAAGCGGCGCACCACCTCGCGCAGGTCCGCGCCCGTCAGCTCCACATCCAGCTTCAGGCCGCGCGACTCCTGCGCCACGGTAGCGGCCAGGGGGCAGGTTGGGGAGGCAGGGGAAGGGGAGGCAAGGCCAGGCGAGGCGAGGCGAGGCGAGGGATGGAGGAAGGCGGGGCTTGGCCAGGGCTGGGCTGAGAAGGAGGGGGCCAGGTGCGCGGGGAGGGTGCCCACCGCGCGGAAGCAACACCTGCGCCGGGGCCGGCGCCTGCAGCCGCAGGCGCCAGCTGTGTCGACGAGGCATGCGGGCAGGCACCCCAGCCCCCACCCACCCACCCACCCACCTTGACCGCGTGGATCTCCGCCTCAAACAGTGAGTGCTCGATGCCCAGCACCACGTCGCCAAACATGTCGAGCAGGCGGCGGTAGCAGTCAAAGGCGAAGCGCTCGCCGCGCTTCTTGGCCAGCCCCTCCACCACCTCGTCGTTCAGGCCCAGGTTGAGCACCGTGTCCATCATGCCCTGCAGCGGCGGGCCGGGGTGGGAGGCGCACAGGGTGCAGGGTAGGTGCGTGAGGGTGGGGGTGAAAGGGTGAGGGCAGGCGGCATGCAGGCAAAAGGGAGGCAGGTGGCGGCAGGGATGGGCCGGCGCACGTGCGGCGCGGCAGCCGGGGCAGACAGGAAGCGCGTGCGGCATGCGGCGGCGCCACTCACGGGCATGGAGACGGCGGCGCCGGAGCGCACGGAGAAGAGCAGGGGGTCTTGCGGGTCGGCAAACTTGGCGCCGTAGGCGGCCTCCACCTCGCGCACCGCCGCCAGGATGTCCTCCCACACGCCGTCGGGCAGCTTGCCGCCGGCCTTGTAAAACTCCTGCGGGGCGGCGGGAGGAGGGGGCAGGGGGAGGTGGTGAGGTGGTGAGGTGCGGTGAAGAAGAGAGGAGCGAGGCGGCGCAAGTAGGTGGGGGATGGCCCCCCTGAAAGCGTGGGGCGCAGTTGCGGGAGTCCCAAGGGCCCGGCCCGCCTGGCTGGCCGTCCTGTTGCCTAACTTCGGGCAGGGCAGGTGCAGGGTGAGCAGGGCAAGGGTGGAAGCACCAGGGATGGGCCGCCCCAGTGGGGTGGGGGAGGTGCTGGCCAGCGGCCGAATGGAGGGCGCGCACCTGGCACACTTTGGTGGTGATGGTGAGACCGGGCGGGACGTTCAGGCCCAGGCGAGCCATCTCGCAGAGGTTGGCGCCCTTGCCGCCCAGCTGCGGAGCAGGAGGGAGGGAGCAGGGGCAAGAGGAAGGATGTCATGGTCAGGGTGGAGCACGCGGTTTGTGGTGAGAGACAAGAAGCTGTGGGGGCTAGGCGAGGCCAGGGAACTGTGTGTCCCGGCCTGTTCTTAGCGCAAGCTTGCTTTTTGTGTTGCGGGGTTTGGGCAGAGGCAGGTAGGTTGCAGCTGGGCATAGGGTCGGGCGTCGCATGCATGGCGGGATGGCGGGTCGAGGGCATGGCGCTCACCAGCTCTTTCATCTCCTTGCGGCCGGCGCTGGTTCCCTTCTTGAACACATACACATGGCGCTCCTGCGTTCAGGAGGGCGGCAGAGGGTATCCCAGTGAGTGGTGTGGTGCAGCGTGCCGCCGCCGGCGACAGCGCAAGATCACAGCTGTTGCATGGGGGGGTGGCGGCACCCCCCAAACCCTGACTGCATCACCCTGCACGGGCCTGGCAGTGCCCCGCGGGCCCGGGCAGGGGCGTTGGAGGGCTGGCCAGCGCCGGAACCGCCCCGATCACGGCAAAACTCCGAAAGGCGGCGCACCCCCAAACCCAGCCCCAACTCGCCTCATCTGCGGCCAGCATCTCCACATCGCCCTTGACAGGCTTCACAATGGCCCTGACCTTGCCCACAACGCCTGCCAGGGGGCCGGGCATTGTGCAGGGGATCACGCAGGCACGGGGTGGAAGCCAAGGCTTCTGAGAGTAGGGTTGGCTGGTTGGAGTGAATGCTTGTGAATGGAAGCGTAAAATGAGGGCGGGAGCCGGGGCGGCGCGGCATTGTGCCCTTGTGAGGGGGTTGCGTGCCCTGTGATCGGGGATTTGCTTTTTCTTGGGGCTCCAAATTGAGTCCATTCGGGCGTGGATGGAGCACATTTGGGGTCAGAGAGCCCTCTAGGTGGCCGGGGGGCGCGCGATGGCGCTGAGCAGGCAAACCCCCATCATTGACTCCATGTGCAACGTGACTGTTGGGCGGCCCGGTCCTGGCTGCTTTGGGAGAGCACTGGAGCGAGAATCACAGATTTGCGCAAATGGCGGCAGGGCGGGAAGTGTTGCAAGGGGTTTGCCGCCGCCGCCGCCGCCGGCTGCTGCCTGCCGCCGCTCAGCCGAGCGTTGGTCGTCAATAAGGTAAGGAAGGAGGCTTGAGGGATTGGCCTGAAGGGCACTTGGCAGGGAGAGTCTCACCCAAGGCCTGCAGTAGATGCCTCTTTGGGTTTGGGCAGCTGGCGGGCACGGGTGCGGCAGCGGGCAGGAGGTGCTGCCCGCCTCGGTTTGCCCGTCTGGTCTGTCTGTCTGTCGTTGCGCCGCAGCAACACAAGGAACATGTGCAGTTTGGATATTGGGACTCATAGAGAGATGAGGATGCGGTGTGTGCTCCCTCGTACTGAGGCATTTCCGATGTTAAGACCTGTGGAATACCGGGTTGCTGGAGGCGGCAACGGCGTTGGCGCGCCGGCAGCCGACATGCTACGTGTTGGCTCTCCACCGTCAACAAGGGTGCAGCGTACCTGTGAACCTGCCCAGACGTGGTGGTGAAGCCTGCTCCCATCAGCAGCCCTGCCGAGCGGCCCTCTTTCGCCGCACCCGCTGGGCGCTGGCACGCTGCCAGGTTATGTCTGTGCCAGGCCTCAACTCCTTGAAGCAGATTAGGCTCAATGGCGCTTGCTGAAAGTGAAATCAGAAATCACCTCACATTGGGCTGTGCAGCCTGAACTCCCTCTCCCTTGCCGTCATTGGAGGCAGTGACGGGGCGCTGACAGGGCCCGCTTGGCCACCCGTCTCGATCACCCGTAACAGAAGCACCGAGCACCAGCGCCCCGCTACAACCCAACAATGGCTGCCAGTGTCGGCGCCGCCAGCTGCTGCCCTCGAAGTTTGCGGCTGGACCCGAGCTCCATGCGGGCCTACAGACTGCTGCAGCTTGTACAGCAGACCAGCAGAGGGTTCGAGGCCGGCGCCGCCCTGCGCGGCACGGTGGCCGCAGCGTGGGGCAGCTCGGCGGGTGGCGGCGCGAGCGGCGGCTCCGCTGCCCACAGAGCGCCGAGGAGCTTGGTGGCCGTGCCGCGCGCCCTCTACCACAAGCGCAACCCCTTTGGCTTCCGTGTGGTGCGGGAGGATGGCGAGGAGCTGCCCGGTGTGAAGAACCTGGAGCTCAGCATCGACGAAATGGACGAGCAGAGGTGCGGCGCAGATACCGGCGAAGAAGCTTCCTGGTCTCAAACCTGCGGCAACGGCGATGCGGAGATGTGCTGGCGACCCATGCCCTGCCCTGGCCTGGCCTGGATTGCCCTGCGTGTCCTGTCATGCAGGAAGAAGGTGGAGCGAGGTGTGGAGGATGCCAAGGCGGCGGCGCTCAAGCTGCTAGGGGCGCGGGCGCACTCTCGCAAGGAGGTGCGGGGCGGCCGGCAGCGGGCATGCCCGCCAGCATGGCGCTGCCCTGTGCAGCCTCTGCTGCTCCTGTTTGTGGCCCTGGCCCAGCTGCTTGCCCCCTGCCACACGCCCCCGCTCCATGCCCCCACCCCCCACCACCTTGTGCGCTGCGCCTGCCACCCTGCAGCTCAAAGTGAAGCTGCTTGAGAAGGGGCACGAGCTGCACGATGTGCGGGATGCGCTGGACCGGCTGCAGTCAGTGGGCCTGCAGGTGGGCCGCGGCTGAATGCGCTGGGCTGCAGCCTTGTCACTGCCACACCGGCTGCCACAGCCAGCCCCGGGTCATGCTCCTGTGCGTGCCCCCAGCTGCTCAGCTCCAGCTGCTGCGCCGCTTCACCTCGCCGCCTGCGCCGCCACCTGCAGAGTGATGAGGAGTTTGCGGAGACCTTTGCGCGGTCCAAGTGGCGGCAGTCCAAGTGGGGGGCGCGCCGCATAGAGCTGGTAGGTGGGGGCGCTGAGATCCGCCTGGTGCAGGCGCCATGCACCTTCATTGATGCCTGCCTCATCTGAGCCGCATGTATTGAGGCCCCGGGTTGGCTTCTTGGCTTCTCCACTACCCTGCCCTGCGCTGCACTCCCTCGCTGTCGCAGGAGCTGCATCATCGGGGCGTGAGCCAAGAGCTGGCCGCCGCGGCGCTGCGCAGCGTGTTTGGCGAGGGGCTGGACATGCGGCAGCACCTGGAGCAGATGCACGATGAGGACGCGCATGGGCAGCACAGCTCGTCGCTGTTTGCCGGCCCGGAGCAGATGCTGCTAGAGGGGGTGCGCAGGCAGTGGGAGCGCATGGCGCGGCTCACAGAGGAGGCGCGGCGGCGGCGGTTTGTGGCCTGGATGCAGGTGCGGCAGCGCAGGCTCTCATTGGCTGCTCTGCTGCCGTGTGCTGTGCCGGGTTTGCCTACGGATGCTTGCAGCCAGCGCATCGCAGCACGCTTGTCTGGGGGGGCTGAGCAGCTGTTGAGCGAACACTCCTGGACCCTCCTGTTCCTTGCAGCGACGGGGGCACCGCTGGGACGATATCCGCGGCCTGCTGCACCAGCTAGAGAAGGAGGATGCGCAGCGTGCCATCGATGGCGAGCTCTGATCTGAACCATATGCCAACCCAGTTTTGTCCTCTGGACGTTGTATCCACCACCAGCTGCCTCCCTACTGTTCGACTGCGTCTGCCATGTACTGGCTTTACTGTTTGTAAATGCTTGGATGATGGTTGACTTGTCTCAATACGTGCTGGCTCGAAAAATGGCAATGCTACACCCAGGAAGACGGAGTTAGCATCCACCGGCCTTGCAATGGCTGCTGTGCTTCTTGAGCAGCAGGCTGAGCGCCGGGCATGGTGGTGCGATGGAATAGGCGTGGACAGCGGCTCTGGTCTCCACCAATTCTGCTACCATTTCGCTGCTTGCCGCTGCCGCCGCTACAACTTTCGCTGGATGCAGAGGAGAAAAGCGGCGCGACTGGCGGCCATCAAGTTCAGGCCCTGTGCCGGGCGCCTTCATCGTGACTCCAAATGAAGGCGCCACCAGCACCAGCAGCTGCACCCTCGGGTGGCGATGGAAAGCTTGCAGCAGAGCGTGTGCTGGGTCCGCCCCGTGTAATGATTGTTCAACCTGGAAGCAGCACACTGGATGGTCAGCACTTCGTCCTGGCAACAAAGATGGCAACAAAGATGGGCGCCTGTTACTGGTCGATTCGAGGTGGCAGCGGGAACGCACGTGGAGCAGCATGTGAATCCTCTGGCCGGCAATGTGGATGCTCTTGCACTGCGCCATGGCACGGTCCAGCCCCAAAAGCACGGTCTGATCGGGGCAGCGGCAGGTCAAACTGTCCAGCTGCAGGTGCGGGGGCAGGGCGATCCTGCAGGCACACATGGGAATCGTTTGAGCTGGCGCTCTCAACAGGTGGGGGCACTCCCAACATCGCTGTTGGCAACATTGTTGGCATGCGCCTGCTTGCTCACCGCGCGGCACTGGCGAAGCAGGACAGCGACAAGGTGCGGAGGGTTGGGGGCAGCCCCGCCAGCTTGGGCAGCGCCTCCGTCTCCAGGTGCAGCTCCTCCAGGCGGGGCAGCAGGGCCAGGGACGCCACATCGATGTCGATGCAGTAGCCTGTGAGCGCCACGGAGCGGAGCGCCGGGAAACGCGGCAGCAGGCTGCACAGGGGCCGGGAGCAGACATAGTTGCGCACCACCAGCTCGGCCAGGGTGCTGCCTGCGGGCCATAGCGCGCACACAAGATACAGCTGGGTGGGAGACTGTGCGGCAGGGGAGGCTTGAGAGTCTCTGTGGCAACACCGGCACAGCCACCGGCGGGGCGGCTGGGCAGCCAGCGCTTGCCTGAGGCCTGCTGCACCTCTTCGGATGCCAGCAGCTCAATGGCCAGGTCCCGCATCAGCGCTGAGCTGCACCCATACAGCACCGACCTAGGATCGATGTGCAGGGCCTCCAGCGGGCGGTGACGCAGCCAGCGAATGGCAGGCGGGTCACCGTCGAGCGGCGAGTGACCGAGGGTCACGCTCAGTGGCACGCCTGCTGCCAGAGACTCAGCATGCCAGCTGCGACAGGAGCCCTCTACAGCATATGCCAGCTGGACGGCTTGTGTGAGGGCGGGTGGCCGGACACTGCACGGCTCCGTGGGAGCGGTGTCGGCGCCGGCGCTGCCCGGCTGGGGCGGGCGGCGGGCAGCAGCCAGGAGGACCTGTCGGAAGATGTCGGGTGGCAGGTCCGCCCATCCCAGCTCCTGACAGCAGCGAGGGAAGAGCCAGGGAATGTGAGACAGCAAGCAAATCGAGTGAATACGCTGCTATGCCGCTATGCCCCGCTGCCCACCTGATCAGCCATCGCCGAGCTCTGCAACATTTCCAGCTGTGCTGTCACACATACAGGCACTGCAACGAGGCCAAAGTTGAGTGCCTGCTGCGTGCGATGCTAGAGCCTTCCTTCCTCTCCTAGGACCCGCGCCCCCAAGCCATTTCATCGCTCTATGCAGCTGCAATACATAGAGCGAATGACCTCCTTCACCTGCATCGTTGTGGAGCCAGATGAGGACGATGTGGAGCCGTCGAGGGTGAGAACCCTGGCTTTCAAGGCTGTAGGATGTGCTGTGGCAATCGTGCAATCGGAACGGAGGACGCCGCCGCTCAGAGGCGAGGGTGGTCACCCAGGCCGCCCACCCGCCCGCCCGCCGTCCTGCCGAACACTCTGCCCACCTGGCCTCCCCATCCGCAGCTGCTAGCGGCGGCAATCCGTGCCGGCAACGTGGCGCGCGTGCAGAGCCTGCTGCAGAAGGGCCTGCTCGGGCAGACGGCACCTCTGAGCTTCAGCCTGCTGCAGGCCGCATGCTGCGGTGGGTGCCCAGGGCTTGGGGCAGCCAGGTGCTGGTGGCTAGCTGTGCGGCTGGAGAGCTTTGCTTTTTGCTTTTTATGTTTACAGTCTGCATATCTGCAAAGGAACTTGGGACCCAGAGCAGTGGATGACAGGGCAGTGGCGCCTGCCTCTGTGCAGGCCAGCGCGACGTGCTGGAGCTGCTGCTTGATACCCTGCTCCAGACCGCCAGCCTGCCGCAGCTCCTCACCTCGTCTGCCGACGCTCTGGGGCGCAGCCCGCTCCACTTTGCTGCCGCCAACGGCGACTACGGGGTGGCGCAGCTGCTGATTGCTCGCGGGGCGGACGTGAACGTGAGCAGCTTGGGCCGGCAGACACGCGTGCCTCAACGGGCCGCTGTGGGCATTGGCGCCCTGCTCTGGGCCTGGTTTTTGGAGGCAGCCGCTCTGGATGCAAACAAGTGCAGCTGAACCGGTTCCAGCTGACGCAGCAAACCAGAGCGCTGGGCGCCTGCAGGCTGTAACCAGGGATGGACGGAGCGCTGTGGCGTATGCCGCCGCCGCGGGCCACCGCGGACTCATGGAGCTGCTGTTGGATGCGGGGGCGGACGTTGACCAGCGTGGCGACGACGGCGCCACGCCCCTGCTGCTGGCGGCAGGTGAGGGCCGCCTGCTGGTGGCCCCATGGCATCTTCTGCTTCAGCCGTGCAGCAGCGTGTGCAGCCTTGCCAGCGGCGCTTCTGCCGCTCACCCCCTGCTCCCGCCTCCACCCGAGGCCCCACCTCCCTGCCGCAGAGTCGGGGCACTGCCACTGCGTGGAGGCGCTGCTGCGCCGGCAGGCCGACCCCAACGCCGCCGACGCCTCCGGCATCACGCCTCTGCTGGCCGCGCTGGGCGGAGGCTTCCGCCGCACGGCAGACGCGCTGCTGGATGCTGGAGCCCAGCCCCTCGGACGCGCAGGTGGGAGCGGGGTCAGTGGCCGGGACAGCGCATTCCTTCACTTTTGAACCCTCCCAAAACCCTGCCGAGCTGCAGGGGGCCGCACCGCGCTGCACTGGGCTGCGCACCATGGCATGGCGCGAGTCTGGGGCGGCTGCTGGACGCGGGCGCTGCCGCCGACATCAATGCAGAGGATGCAGATGGGGAGACGGCCCTGCTGCTGGCGGCGAGGCGAGGGCATCAGGCGGCGGTGGAGCTCATGCTGGAGCACGGCGCCGCCACAGACCAGGCCAACAGGAGCGGCGTCACTCCCCTCATCGCCGCGGCGCTGTTTGGGCACGATGGGACGGTGGAAGTACTGCTGGCCAGGTGCGGTACGGTAGCTCGCAGCGCATGGCGCTTGCGGCAGCCGACAATGCACGTGTCGAGTGCACTGTGGGGGCAGGTCTGGGCTGGGCTAGGCTCGGCTCGAGCACCTGAGGTCAGAGACCTGCGATTCTGCTCAGTGCCGAGTGGCTGTTCCCATGCAGAGGGGCTGGCACGGCCGCCAGCGATGTCCAGCATCGCCGCACACCGCTCCACTGGGCGGCGCTGGCGGATGCGGCGGCGATCGCCCGCATGCTGCTGCAGCATGGGGCTCAGGGGGGCGCGGTGGACTGCCACGGGGCCACCGCAATGGACCTGGCTGTGGAGCACGACTGCACCCAAGTGGTGCAGGTGTTTGTCAGCTTTGCCAGCAGCAGCTGAGGGCCGAGGGCCTCTGCCATCTACAGCCCCGGGAAAAGCCCATGGAATGTGCCTGGCTGCCGTTCACAGTCGTACATTGCTGGTTGAGTGCATGCAACTCAGCATAGTCTTCCTGCCTGTTTATGAAAATGTCAACAGTTTGGGGCGAGGTAACAGTGAAGTTAGGCAGCAAATAAATAGAGTCGTCGTAAAAAAAGCAGCAGGAAGAGTTGAGCAGGGAGCAGGCAAGCGAATGAGCAGCGCCAGGTCACGGGAACACAAGCATCACATCCCAATTGTGAGCCCGAGCGCCACCAGCATGGCCGCCGCTGCTGCCACCAGCTGCAATGTGGCGCGCCCGCTGCTGCTGGCAACGCGAAACTGGGCCAGCACACCTGCAGCCAGCAACGGCAACCACAGGAAGAGGGGGCTCATGCTGTGGGCTGACGCAGGCCAGCAGCCACTGCCACAGACCCAGCAACAGCTGAGACAGCACGTGCAATAAGGTGGTGGGCTAAAGGTGCTGGCACCAGCACAAGCATGCATGCCGCAGCCGCCCGGCCAGCCGCACACCGTTTTGGCAGTCCTTGGGTGCCTGGCTGGTGACCCAGTAGTCTCCCAGATCCTTGGGCAGCTCCCAAGAGAACTGCCCAATCTGCAGCGCGGGCAAAGGGGGCTAACCCGAAGTCAGCAGGCTTGCGATGCACATGCATGTGCAGACATGCATGTGAATGTGTGTGGCAGCGGCAGCCGAGCTGCTCAGCAGCGTGCGGCAGCGGCGCGCCCAGCCTCGCCTTGCTAACGGGCGCCAGCTCCTGGTAGGTGTCTGTCTTCCAGGCTGTGAAGTTGCCAGGGCAGGCGTCGCTCTCGATTTGGAACAGGCCGTGGTCGTCTGCGGCGGCAGGCGGTGCAGGGATGAGTGGGCACCACAGAGTGCGGCAGCAAACTCGTGCCAAAATGCCACAACCAGCCAACCCCCAAATACTGTGCTGTTGTAGAGGGGATGATCCATGTACACATTTCCTGGTCCTGCTGTGCCGCTGTCCTCCGCCGCGGTTGCTCACGCGTGCCGCGCGCACCTGTGCCCGCCCAAGTGAAGATGGCCGTGGCGTTTCCTGGGCACATGCAGATGGGTCCTAGTGTTCCCACCCCCCACTCCACATAGTACTGATCGTAGCACTTGCCACCACAGCCTGCGCAGCGGGAAGCAGGCAGGGGTCGACATACAGCAGCAGCAGCCAGACGGGCGGCGGTGCCGCGGTGCCAGGGGCGGCGCCAGGCCGGGAGGGGCGAGCAGGCGCGCTACACAGCAGCATCCGCGTGCTGTGGGCTGCGCGTCAAGCAAATGGGCCCGGTGGGCGAAGGCGCGGGGTGCGGTTGTGTGGTGGTTGCCGCAGCGAGCCGCAGGGGAGCGCACTTATCACTGCGACCGCTGGTGTGCAGGAGAGGAGCGCCAGCAGCGCCGCCAGCAGCGCGCCAGCCGTTCGTTGGCGTTTGGTCATTGAATTGTGGTGCTCCTGTCTGGTGCTTGCCGGGAGGCTCAGTGTAACATACAGTGTGAGACGATCAAGCAATCGGGAGCCGCGTTGGTGCTGCTACAGCTGCTGTGGGCAGCGCATGGGGGCAGCCCGCCACGTGGCGGGCGGCTGGCGCGGTTCAAGGAGCTGCGTCTCTCATCTTGCTGATCTCTTCACTGATTTGAATAGGCTCGTGGAGTGCTGCCAACAACTCATCAAATGCGCGTCAAAGGTCAGCCGCAATCATTGCCCCCGCTTTTCTGCTGCAGCACGCAGGTGGTCGAGTTGTGCCTGTGTAGCTTGCCGGCTGGCTTCTAGCTGCTGCTTGGTGAAACCCGACTCCCGCAGCTCCTGCGCGCAGGACATGGCAGCGAGGCGACACCACATGGGGCCAGGCTCCAGCTGGCGCAGAGCAGGCAGCTGTCAGAGGCGCATCAGGGAGGCAGTCTATGCCGCCGTGCCCAGCCATACTGGCGCAACCTTGCGCTTACCTTCTCCATCTGCGATGACGACGGCATCATGGTGACCAGCAGCGCTGAACCCAGGGTCGGCCACGACAGAAAATACCTGCAGCAGCAGCACGCCAAAGAGATGCAGTTGTATGCGTGGGGAGCGTGCAGCGCACCACCCACGGCACGCATGCATCGCTGATGCCGAAGCGCGACTCACAGCAGCTTGAAGGCAGTGGTCTGCTTGCGTCTGTACGCAACAGTGGCTCCAGCAACAAACGTCATGCCGGCACCCAACAGTGCGCCGTCCGCCACGGTGAGCGGCATGGCTTGGGTCGCTTGGCAGCAGCAAGTACAGGGTGACTGGCGGCTAGGCGGCAGCGGCGGGTGGTGAAGGAGCGGCACTCTGGAGTCTGATCGCCCCACGCGCACTCCCGTGATGTGATCAGCGAGGACAGAGACGCGGGATGCCTGGGGCTGCGTTGGTGAGCAGAACCCGAGATGAGAGAAGGCGTGGTGCCGTGGTTTGCAGGGGGAGATCGGTATAAAGAGCGACCCCACCAGTTGAGCTTGAAAGAAGCAGAATTGGGGGCGCCAGCACGGGAAGTTTGGCTTCATCTGGCGGTGACCTCCAGCTCAGCTTCCAGCGCCACACTAAACGAAAGCCTGGCGAGCAGGGCGGGATCCAAAAGCAAGCACACGTGTGTCCCCTGCCGGACTCCTTCGATGCATGCGTTGTGAGAGGCCGCACATTCGGGCGTCATGCAGGGAGGGCGGCAGAAGCACAGGAAGCAGTTTCACAAGCAGCAGGTGAAGCGCAGCAAGGCGGAGAGCGATGAGATAGCCGCCATCGAGCGGGCGCTGGCCGAGGGGGCGCCGCCGCACGGCATCAACCCGCTGGCGCTGCCGCCACCGGCGGCAGAGGGCGGCGAGGCCCCGCAGCAGCCCAGCGTTGCAGCCGCCAAGCGCTTTGATGAGCTACCCATCAGCGAGTACAGCAAGCAGGGCCTGCGGGAGGCCAAATACTTCAGCTTGACGGCGGTGCAGCGTGCCGCACTGCCACACGCGCTGTGCGGCCGGGACGTGCTCGGCGCCGCGAAGACCGGCTCGGGTGCGGCGCTGAACTGCTGCTGCTGCTGCTACTGCTGCTGCTGCGCTGTCTTCGAATACTGCTAGACAGGGAGGGAAGCTGCGTGGGCGCCGTCCCGCTGGCTGTGCCGCATGCGGCCTCCTGCCCTCCTCGCTTTCCACGACACGCACGCCCCTGCTTCACCCCTCCCTCGGCACCGACCTGGCCATGTCTCGCCCCTGCCTGGCCCCACCTTGCAGGCAAGACGCTGGCTTTCCTGCTGCCGGTGGTGGAGAAGCTGTACCGCGCCCGCTGGAGCAAGCTGGACGGCCTGGGGGCGCTGGTCATCTCGCCCACCCGAGAGCTTGCGCTGCAGGTGAGCGGCAGGGAGGGTCGCCGCCCCGCTGCCCGGTCGCCGCCCCCAGCGCCACCGCCGCCTCCCCTGCAGATCTTTGATGAGCTGCGCAAGGTGGGGCGGCGCCACGACTTCAGCGCGGGGCTGCTGATCGGCGGCAAGGACGTGAAGGAGGAGCAGGCTCGGGTGCACGGTGAGCCTGCCCGCAGGCAGGGCTGCTGGCTGGGGTGGTGTGGTTGGGTGGCGGACGCGGCGCGAAAACGCTGTGCGCAGCTGAGGCTAGCAGAGCGCCCCTTGCCCCCTGCCCGGCGGGCGCTGGTCGCCCCCCTCCTTTCTCACTGCCCCGCCCGCCCCGCCCGCTTCCCCCGCCGCGCAGGCATGAACATCTTGGTGTGCACCCCGGGGCGGCTGCTGCAGCACATGGACGAGACGCCCGGCTTTGATGCCGGCCAGCTGCAGGTGCTGGTGCTGGATGAGGCGGACAGGATCCTGGACATGGTGCGACCTGTGTGTGGTGGTGGTGGTGGTGGTGGGAGGGGCAGCCCTCGCCTGCCTCGGGGCCAGGCTGGCTGGAGGGGAGGTGGGCTGGATGGGGAGGGCAGCCGGCAGGCAGCGGCGGGGCAGGGTGACTGTGTGGGGAGGGGCTGGCGGGGTGGGGGAAGGGCGTGCGCTGCGGGGTCGCCGAGCTACCAAGAGTGGCGTCAAGAGAGAGAGCGCTGCACGACCTGGTGCAGCCGAAGTCCCAGCATCCAGCCAGCATCCAATCCCGTGCTGCCATTCCGCTGGCCGCCTGCCCCCCCCCCCGCCCCCTGGGTGCCCGCAGGGCTTCTCCGCCACCCTGAATGCCATTGTGGCCAACATCCCCCGCCAGCGCCAGACCCTGCTCTTCTCCGCCACCCAGACCAAGTCTGTGAAGGACCTGGCACGCCTGAGCCTGAAGGTGCGGGCGGCAGGCAGGGGGCGCGCGCCGCTGCCGCCCTGGCCCTGCCACGCCCCGTGCCCTGGCTGCCGCCCCCGCCTACCAGCCCGACTGCCTATCTTACCATGCACGTACACACTCATTCACGCCACCCCCCCCTGCTCTTCATTTTCCCTCCACCACCCAGCCACACACTCACACGCCCCGCCCCACCCCACCCCCTCCCACACCCCCGCCAGGACCCCGAGTACATCTCTGTGCACGCCGAGGCGGCGGCGCCCACGCCACTCAGGCTGCAGCAGGCCTACATGGTGTGCGAGCTGCCCCAGAAGCTGGACATACTGTGGAGCTTCATCAAGACGCACCTCAAGGTGGGCGCCTGTGGCATGGTCTGCAGCTCGTGGAGCCCGTGGACGGATGGGTGTGTGTGTGCGTATGGGTGTGTGCAAGGAAGAGGGACGCACGGCGGCCGGCGGGCCGCGCGGCCCTGGGTCGGCGGGGCGCAGCCCGCCCCGTCCCGCATGCCAACCAGCTCCGGACCACTGGGCGTGCCCTGCCATGTTTGGTGCCGCGTGCCCACTGGCGCTGGGCTGCCGCCGCCCCCACCCGTGGCGCGCAGGCGAAGACCATCGTGTTTGTGTCCACCTGCAAGCAAGTGCGGTTCCTGTTTGAGGCCTTCCGCAAGCTGCGGCCGGGCGTGCCGCTGCGCGCGCTGCACGGCAAGATGAACCAGTACAAGCGCATGGGGGGTGGGCGCGCCGCCCGCGCTGCGCCTGCCGCGCTGCGCCTGAGCTGTCGCGCACATTGGCCGCGCCCCAGGCCCCTCCAGGCAGCCCCTGCCCTGGCCGAGCTTGCCCTCCGTTCTGCCACCCACCCTGCCTGCGGCCCCCACCTCACACTCAACCACGACCCACACATACACATGCCCCCTCCCCTCCCCTCCCCTCCCCTCCAGTGTTTTACGAGTTCTGCGAGGCCAAGGCGATGGTGCTGTTTGCCACCGACATCGCCGCGCGCGGCCTCGACTTCCCCACCATCGACTGGGTGGTGCAGGTGAGAGGCAGGGGGGGAGGGGGGAAGCGGCGGCAGGCGGAGGCAGGAAGGTAGCGGGGGCCCTGCCGAGCTGCCGCCAGCGAGCGGCTGGAGCCTTCCGTGGCGCGGCTGCTGCCATGTAGAGATTCCTGGCCTGCCGTCGGCACCCCGGCGCTCTCGCACCAACCCCTTCTGCCGCCGCTCTCGCACCCACCCTAGAAACCCTTAATAATCTGGCTGTCTGGTCGCCCATGCAGGCGGACTGCCCCGAGGACGTTCCCGCCTACATCCACCGCGTGGGCCGCACCGCGCGCTACATGTCCAGCGGCAAAGGCCTGCTGCTGCTGGTGCCCAGCGAGAAGGAGGGCATGCTGGCGCAGGTGGGCGGGGGCGGGGCGTGCCAGCGGGCATGGCGGGGGGTGGGTCGGTCGGGGCTGCCGCCGCCTGGTGTGTCTGCAGGACCAGCTCACGTCCAGCGGACCGCACCGCTCGTGCCGGGCCTTTCCTCCCCGCCTGACACTCCCTTGCCTCCATCTCCCCGCCCAACACTCGCCCCGCCCACCCGCAGCTGGAGGAGGCCAAGGTTCCCATGAAGCAGCTGAAGCACAACCCCAGCAAGGTGCAGCCCGTGGCGCCCGCGCTGCAGGCGCTGCTGTCCAAGGATGGCGAGCTCAAGGTGGGGCGGGTTGAGGGGGCGGGAGCGGAGGCCCAGGGGGACAGGGGGACAGGGAACGCAGGCAGAGCGGCGAGCTGGGCACGCTTGTGGGCAGGCCCTCCAAGCCAGGCCGCCTGCCTATCCACCGCCCCTCGCCACCTGGCGCCACGTGCACGCAGGAGGTGGCGCAGCGCGCGCTCGTCTCGTACCTGCGCTCCGTTTTCCTGCAGCCCAACCGCAAGGTGTTTGACGTCACGCAGGTATGTGTGTGGGGGGGTGGGCTGTGGCAGGGAGGCGCGTGTGTGGTGTGGGGAGCTCAGGATTGCCTTGTGTTGGTTGTTGGTTCAAGCCTGGCACTGCCGCCCGCTGCCTGCACCGGCGCCTCACACCCCACGCCACCCTGCCCCGGCCCTTCTCTCCTGCAGCTGCCGGCCGCCGAGTTTGCGTACAGCATGGGGCTGCCCACGGCGCCCAAGCTGCGATTCCTCAGCAAGGCCGAGAAGAATGTGCGGCGGGCGGCAGCGGGTGGCGCCCCCGCCGACCAACAGGAGCAGCAGCTGGCGGCCAACGGTGCCCACGCGGCAGAGCCAGCAGGGGCGACGCGGCGGCAGGAGCAGCGGCAGCAGGTGGCTGGCAATGGGCAGGCGGAGAGCGCGGAGGAGGAGAGCGAGGAGGAGGGGGCCAGGCAGCAGGGGCGGGAGCAGCAGGTGGTAGCGGCCGGCAGCGACGACGATGATGACTTGATGGTGGTGAAGCGGCACCATGCCTATGGCTCCGAGGAGGAGGAGGAGGAGCAGGCGGCGGCGGCGGCGGCGGGAACGGATGCGGCAGGCGGCGGCAAGCAGCAGAAGAAGAAGAAGCTGAAGATCAAGGCGCACGCTGTGTCCGGCAGCAGGCACGCGCGCGCGCGTGTGTGTGTGTGTGTGTGTGTGTGTGTGCGCGCGTGTGTGCGCCCACACGCCGCGCCAGCGCATGGCTGTGCTGTGCTTCTGCCTCGTGCTCATCAGCCCCTGCCCTGCCTGCACAGCTCGCCGCCACCGCCTGCCCGTGCCGACTCCCTTACCTCTGGCCCTGCCTGCCCCCTCCCCCCCGCAGGGTTGTGTTTGATGATGAGGGACTGGCTGTGGACCCGCTGCAGCTGCTGGCACAGGATGACGAGCAGTTTGGAGGCGGCGGCGGCGGCGCGGCGCGCGGGTGCGTGCAGCAGCGGCAGCCTGCATCCCGCCGCGGCCTGGCCCGCCTGCTTCTGCCGGCTGTGCCTGCTGGGCGGCTGCGGCAGCCTAGTGCCGAGCCGGGTGTGCCCAGGGCGTGCAACGTGCCTGTGGCCCTGATGCAGGGAGGCGGGGACTGCTGCCAAGGGCGGTACCGCGGGGCTGGATACCGGCATCCACGCCAGCGTGGCGGATCGTGCGGCCGCGGCGCGGGCGCTCATGCTGCAGCGGGACCGCCAGGACCGGGAGGAGCTGCGGGAGCTGCGCAAGCAGGGGCGCCAGGAGAAGCGGGCCAAGCGGCTGGCGCGGGAGGCGGCGGCAGAGGGGGCGCCCACGCTGGCCGGCGGCGGCTTTGGCGGCGGCGGCGGCGGCAGCGAGGAGTCAGAGGACGACCAGGCCAGCTCCGGCAGTGATGACGAGGCGGGGCAGGAGGAGGGTGGAGGTAGCAGCGGCAGCGAGGGCGAGGGCCGGCCGGCGCGGCGGCGCCGTGCAGGGCGGGGCCGCGCGGCAGACGCGCCAGGCTCAGACTCGGAGCTCGACCTGGACCTTCTGGAGTCTTCTGAGGATGAGGAGGAGGAGCCGGGGCCGATGCGGCAGCAGCAGAAGCGGCGGCGCGGCGCCGCCCCGGAGGTCGCGCACTTGGGCATGCTGCCCGCCAAGCCGCCCGCTGCTGCTGCGCCGGCGGCAGGCGAGGCGGGGCAGGAGGGCAGCGAGGGCGGCGGCGACGACGACGCAGCGGGTGCGCAGCAGCAGCAGGGGGAGCAGGGGAGGCGGAGGAAGCGGCGGCGGGGCGTGGATGCGGCGGGCTTGTCTCTGGCGGAGCAGGAGGCGCTCGCGCTTCGCCTGCTGGGGGCACGGAGGTGAATGGCACACAGCACGCCTTCCCCTTCCTCCGCTGCTGTGCGTGTCTTGCTTGCAACCGGCTCCCAGAGGTGTTTCAATTCATTCGTTTCTTCATGAAAGAGCATCGCGTCTGTAAGCCAACCCGAGCTGTCGTCCTCAGGGAACCGAGCCGTCACCTGGCGCCCAGCCACGCCAGCCACGCCGCCGCCAGCTGCCTGCCTGCCGCCACGCTGCCCTTGACGGACGCCAGGGAGGCGGCGGTGACCCCGTGCCGGTTGCAGGCTAGCCAGAACGTCCAGTGCGAGAGCAGCAGCAGGGTCCCAAGGGTGGCGGCTGCACGCACCGGCGCCGGCGGCTGCAAGCCGCGCCGCCTGCATGGGCGAGCGCACAACAGCAGACTGTCGTAACTTGCGCTGCCGAATGTTTGACTAGCTGTAGGTACCCGCTAGTGTCTCAGCGAGTGGTGCAAGAGGAGCTCCAGGGTTCAGGCACACCACCAGCAGCCGGCCCCGCCCACCTCAGCACGCCTCCCAGCTGCCGCTCGCCCGACAGCAGCGGCACCTGGGCCAGGAAGAAAGCCAGCATGAGGCCGCCGCTGTGCCGCCCAGTCATGTACCAAAACTGCAGCTCGTGCATGGCGGCGCTGACCAGGAAGCAGGATGCGGACCCCACCAGGCGCCGCCGCCTGTGGCGCTTGGCGGCCGAGGCGGCCGCGCCGCGGGTGGCGCGCAGCGGCGGCGCAGCCGTGCGCACCAGCCGGCCTGGCAGGGGCAGGAGGGAGGGCGGCGCCCATTGGGCATGGACGCATCGCAAGGCTGCATCGCCATTGTATGCTGAAAAACCTGCAGCGCTCAACCAGGCACGTGGACTCCCACCCGCCACCCACCCCCTGGCCACAAGCACCTGGCACTGCAACAATAACAAGCCCGCTCTCCCAGCCAGGGCCATCCCCTCACCCTCGAGGACTGGCTCATACACCAGCTGGCGAAGCGTGTTGCCTGCCGCCAGGTCCCACCGTCGCGACCAGAAGTCGGCGAGGCTGGTGGAGCTCCAGGGGGAATCAAAGTGGGGCGACACCTGCATGCCTGCGGGCAGCAGGCAGCAGGGCGCCGGCTGATGGGATGCCGGAGGGCAGGGGGAGTCAGCACACCCCTTGCTGGAATTGAGGAGGCGGGTCAGCCAGGCTGGAACAGCACAGTGCTGTGGCCCGCAGCGATGCTTGCCTATCAACGCGCTGGCTGCGGCAGCTGGACCATCCATCGCAAAGGAGAGGATGGCGTACAGGCCAATCGCTACAGGCGACGGCAAGGGGGAACGGAGGCTGGGGGACTGTTGCTGAGGCTTCGAGCAGCACCAGCCCATGCAGCCCCCAATGAACAGCACTTTGGCCCTGCAGCCGGCACTGCACTCACTGTATAGAAACTCGAGCACCAGCTGCGGAGGTTGCAGGCGCACCAGGCCCAGCCCGACGACGGTCAAGGCAGCTTTGGCCACAAAAGCGGCCGCCATGCTGCCCGCGCCGCCGGCGTGCTCGCTCTGCCGCCCGCCGCGGCCATGCGCACGTGCCTCGGCCCCTGCAGCAGCAGCCAGCGTAGCACATGGGGGGCTGCCGCACTGCGTCTGCTGGTCAACATGCCGCACTTCACTCGCTTGCCCACCAGCAGAGAGGTCGTACCTTCCATGGGCGAGATGGGGGCCAGCTGGATGGCCGCAAACGGCGCCATGTTCCACTGGTCGGCAGCCAGCGGCCCACGGTTGGCGGCCCAAGCCAGCACCTGCAAACGTGGCAGGGCCAGCCTCACTACCATGATACCAGCCAGCGGTCTGCGTGACCACAGTGACCAACACAGTGACCCAAACAATACTGCGGCCTGCATCGCATAGGGCACCTTGAAATTAGACAGCCAAGTAAGTGCGAATTCTACGAGCACAATGGTCACGATTTCAGAGTCCTCGGCAGTCCCAGCTCCGGCGGAACTGGCGACGCGGCGGAAGAGCAGCGGCGCCCCGCAGTTGAAGGCCACCACTGGAAGCGCTGCTGCCAGCCGTGACAGCCCGGGGCGGCTCCGAACGTGGACAGAGAAGAGCCAGGAGGCGCAGAGCAGACAGCCAGCCAGCAGAGATGCCAGGCGCTCGCAGTATGTCGCGGGGTCCCAGTCAGGCATCTCGATGGAATATATGAGCAAATATTTGGCAATTGAGGTTGTTCAACCTTGCGCAATCGGCTTCGGCAAGAATGCTGAGGTGGCACTGGCAGTGATTAAAACCAAGGTTCGCCGCCGACCGATGATTAGGACGTCCATGGCCTCCACTCTCTCCATCTCGGACCCATTGCCAATCCTGTGCCGCCACTTTCGAGAGTGTCGTCGTGCGCTTACGAGCCGCAGGGCTCGCTTGTGGCGGCCAAACGGACCTACGTACTGCTGTGCTAGCCCTGAACCAGCCAGAGCCCGTCCATCCTTCAGGGGCACCCCACCTCCGCCAGAGTTGCGAGGCCTGCCAGCCCGCCGCTTCCCGCCGCCATGCGCTCCCGCCTCCTCACCCTGGTTGGCATCTCGTGGCTTGTGCTGGGCCTGCTGATTATCGTGGTCTCTTTCGCCGCCTGCCTGCTGGGGCTTCCCCGGCGCTGGGCTGTGGCCGGCCTGGCGGTGCACCTGCTAGGCCTGCTGCTGCCGCTGCGGGTGCCGCCGCCGGCGTGGGCCGAGCGCTTCCTGGCATTTGTCACGACAGCGGCAAGGGACTATTTCCCCATGACCATCGAGTTTGAGGACAAGGACGCTTTCAAGGAGGACAGGCCGTTTGTGGTCGGTGAGGTGCCGCCGCTGCCTGCCGGCGGGCCGCCTGCTGCCGCTGCCACCTCACTAGCCTTGCTGCCTTGTGCGTGATGAAGGGTCCGCCTGTGCCCGGGCTGCACGTGGAGGAGCTCACCCCTGCGCCTGCCCCGCTCCTTGTCATGCCCGCAGGCTATGAGCCGCACTCGGTGCTGCCCGTGGGCTCCTGCATGTTCACCACCTACGCCCAGAGCCCTGTGCCGCCCTCCCTGACCAACACCCATATTGCAGTCACCGGCACGGTGTTTCTGGCGCCCTACATGAGAAACTTCCTGTGGTGGATGGGCTGCCGCTCTGCATCAAGAGAGGTGGGCTGTTGGCATCTATTGTGCATACTTGCAGGCACCTCACTCGCTGTGCATGGGCTCGGCCCCCGCTGCTGCAGACATCCGCAGCGTCGTATCCCTCCATGCTGCGCCGCTCGCGCTGCAGGTGCTGCAGAGCTCTCTGGCAAGCGGCACCACCGTCGTGCTGTGCCCGGGCGGTGTGCAGGAGTGCTTCTATATGGACCCGCAGCCCGACAGGGAGGTGGTCTTCCTCAAACAAAGGACCGGCTTCATCAGGTGCTACTAGTGCTGGCCCTGTGGTTGGCCTTCCTGGAGCGGGCAGGGATGGCGAATGGCAGGGTCTGACTGGCTGGGATTGTGGTGCCCTGCAGGCTGGCCATGCGAGCGGGGGCTCCCGTGGTGCCCGTCTTTGCATTTGGCCAGACGCCGCACTACAGGTGAGGGTGTGCTGCAATCGCCATCGTATCGAAATGCAACCCAGGTCCTTGCCTAATGGGTTGCCCGCGCTGCTGTCCAGGTACTGGCGACCCTTCATTGATGCTCTGCGCATCTTCCCACTGGGCAGGATGGCCAGGCAAGCAAAGAAGTGCCTGCCGCCTCCCCTGGCAGCTGCCCCGCCTTGCACTGCGAAGTGCAAATGCGTGCATGCATGTGCTCCCAGCTCACCCTCCCCGCTTTCGCTGCCGCAGCTTTGTGCGGCGCATTGGCTACGTGCCCATGTTTGTGTGGGGCTATCTGGGGAGCGCTGTGCCCTACCAGGTGAGCTCGCCAGCTGCCAATCAACTGCCCTGCTCGCACCCACGCCATCCGTGGGGCTCACCTCAAGGGGTCGGGGGTTCCATCCTCCCTCCCTACACTGTGCAGGTTCCCATGCACCTGGTGGTGGGCAAGCCCATCCATGTGCCGCACAGGGCAGACCCCAGCCCTGAGGAGGTGTGGCAGCACCTAGAGCAGTACATTGCCGCGCTGGCAGGCATCTTTGAGCGGCACAAGGCGGCAGCGGGGCACCCGGACGCCACTCTGACCATCATTTGATGCACAGCCTGCTGCCTGCTGCCCTCAATGGCTTCCTCATTTGCCTCGATTCTTTGTGTGCTTACAAGTTAATCAGGTTATGGTCGCAGCAGAGAGATCTGTCATCAAATCCAAGTTGGAAGTGTGGAACCGGAAGGAGTAGGCCCTGTCGGCTGCATCCAGCATCGCCACCAGCTCCTGGTCTGGCGGCACCCCCGGCAGCCCCAGAGCATCCGCCGCCTGACCCGTCAGCCGCTGCAGCAGGCGGGAGGCTTGCGCCACCACATCTGCCGTGAACTCTGCCAGAATGCCTGCCGCCTGGGCCTCGTCGCCCCTCGCCGCCGCCGCCGCATATCTCCGCTCCATGGCGGGCCGCTGCCGCGCCTCCACGTCTGCCTCCCAGGCTTGGATGGCTGCCGTACTGCCGGGTGCCAGGGCAGGGAAGTCCTGGAACACCAGCGCTTGCAGGCGGCGCCCCGCCCAGAACAGGGACTGCGGGTCGGGCTCCGAAGCTGCGCAGGTCAGCTCTGGCGGCAGGGCGTCGCCAGGTAGCCCAGCATAGATGGGAATAAAGGGAGCCAGCAAGGGCATGCCCATCGCCACGTAGTTTATGGCTGCTAGGCCGCGGGCGGCAGGCGAGGTGCGGCGCAGGCGGCAGACATGGCCCGCCGAGGTGCGGAGCAGGGCGATGGGGCGGTAGGCCTCGCTGGGGTTTCTGTGGAGGTAGGGGTCGTGCTGGCTGGCATCGTAATGGTCCCGCAGGCCTCCCATCACGTCGTGCAGGCCCAGCATGCGGCGGCCGGGCTGCAGGAGGGCTGGCTGCTCCACCGGCGTCACAAAGGCGGGCTGCGATGCATCGGTGCAGCTGGAAGTGCGGCCGGCCAGGCGGTAGTGCAGGGAACAGACGCGAGGGTAGTTGAACTTGGCATCGCTGGGCCCATCCCTCATGAACGCTTTGAAGAAGTTGAAGGGCTGGCCGGCGCCGGGATCAAACAGGCCCTGGTCAATAGCAAACTCCAGCAGCCCGCGGGAGTGCATCACGTTGGCACCATCGCTCAAGTCAACCTCCTGTGGCGGCGGCCAGGGGATATAGGGGACGGGAGAGGAGAATCGTGAAGAGGGGTCAAGCTTGCCTCACAGCAGAGGTGAGGAGGAGCTGTGGGGGTGTCCACGTTCCGTGACTTGCGAGGGAGCCCAGCAGCCACCCCTCGGCTCCGCCTGCCCTGGCAAGCTCTGTGCAGGCCCCCACCTGGAAGCGGCCCTGGTTGGCCGACACAAAGATGGCGGCATCAGGCGCACGGCGAGCCAGCCAGTGGTGCCCCGATGCCGTCTCAAGGTACCAAGCCCCGCCGGCATCAGCAACAAGCAGGCCAAAGCCCTCGCCCGCGCCGATGCTGGCGCTCTCCACCCACCGGCCCGCAAGCGCCACGCCCTGCCGCGCCGAGGTGGCTTGCGGCAGCAGCAGCGAGGGCAGCGCGTCCTCTGTCAGCCCCGAGGCGGCGTTGTAAGGGTCTGCAGCCAGTGCCGCTGCCGAGTTCAAGATTGTCTCGGTGCCAGAGACAGCCACCCCTGCGCTGTTCACGCCGGCCGTCTCTCCGGACGCGTTGCGCCCTGCCGAGGCGTCTGCCAGCGTGACAGGGATGGCACTGTACGCCAGTCCCGGCGCTGGCAGCTGCAGGGCCAAGCCGTTGGCGTTGGAGCGGAACACCGCGGGCTCGGCTTGTGCAGGGTGGTAGACAAGCTTGTTCACTGTGGACCGGGCGTCGCCTGCAGGCGCCACAGGCACCAGCGTGTCATCCAAGTGCAGAAGGCAGCACGCCCTCCACACCTGCACCACCACGCCATACCATTCCCCTGCATACCGGTGTCGTCAGTGCGGGCCACGTAGATACTTCCGTCGGTGGTGGCCTCGCCGCCGACGATGATGGAAGTGCAGGCATGCGACGGGCGGCCGTCGAGCGCTAGCAACAGGAGCAGCAGCAGCAGGGATGGAGCCATGCCTGCACCCACAGCCAGAGAGAAGGCCAGCAAATGTGACATAGAGCTGATAGACAGTCACCAACCAGAATTGCTCAGCACCTCGCGCTCCCTTGCGGCGGCAACGGAGGTGCGGCAGAGCGCCGCCTGCGCACCGCCCGCCATGGCCACCTGTGTCGGCGGAAGCTCTCTGGCTACAGCCTGGAGCTATATACCATGGTGTGTACACACGCTCCGCATCAGAAGCAGTTGCAGCTGTGGCAAGCGGAGACGCCCAGCTGCACAGTCGAGCACACTCAAGTTGCGGGCTGCTTGGGGCGTTCAGAGCTGTATACAGAGTTTTGTGATCTCACGATTTCGGGCAGCCATACCGAACAGGCAGGCTAAATGCCGCCGCCGCTCTGGCCGCTGCGGTGGTGCCGCTCAGCTGCGGTGGTGCCGCTCGGTTGGCACGAACTTGCAAGGCAAAAAATCGAGCAAGGCGGCACGAAGGAATGGGACCAAATTCAGCAACAGTCTCGTCGTCAATGTCAGTACACAAGGATCAGGGTCACGGGGGGTGCCATCAGCTGGCCGCTTGCACCTCTGCCGCCGCCGCCGCCGCTCGCACCCCCGCCGCCGCCTCCTGGATGGCCACCTCCACCTCTGCCAGCCGCTGCCGCGCCACCGCCAGCTCCTTCTGCTTGGCATTCACCGCGTCCATCCTCTCTGCCAACTGGCCGTGCAGGCCGGTGCCGGAGCTGCCGGCGCCGCCATTGGCGTGCGCCTGGGGCGCGGCTGCTGCGGAAGCGCTGGTGGCGGGCGGGCCTGCCACGCCCTTGCCTGCCGTGGGAGGCACGGTGAAGGGCATGCAGCTCATGCCAAAGTCCTCGGTAAGGATGCGCCCCACCTCTGCCTGCGCCGCCGCATCCTTGCACAGCAGCTGCGCAGTGCCGTCGCCCTGCGGGGCAGCGAGCAGCCGCAGGTCAGAAGGAGGGGCCACTAGCCTGGCCAGCTGGCAACGCGCTCCGCAGAGCCAGGCAGAGGACAGCGCACAACACGCAGCAGTAGCGGCGGCGGTGGCAGCAGCGCCGCCCTCCCACCTGCGACCCCACCCCTTTGCCGCCATAGATGTGCGGCTGGATGGGCGGGTGCGCCAGCACCCTGTGCAGCACGGGGCTGGTGAGCTGGGAGGGGCAGAGCGGCGCGGCGCGGGCGGTGAAGGCGCGCTGCGCCTCGCTCATGAGCGCGCCCAGCGCCGCAGCATCACCCGCCGCCATCAGCTGCAGCGCCCTGCCCGTGATGTCGGCGTTGATCGCGCCCAGCAGCTCCACACACCCGCGCTGCTCGTCGGTGGCCGGGTGCGGGAACGCGACCTGCATGCATCGGGCGTGCGCCGAGGTGGGGGCCCCAAGCGGCGGCGGCCCAGCTAGCACGCACGGCAGCTGCAGCGGGGCCTCGCATGCCGGGCTGCTGGCGGGTGCAGCGCGCTGGCGGGGTCTGCGGCGGAGGAGGTGGGCGGTGCAGGCTGCGGGGCGGCCCGCAGACTAATGAAAACACTGTGCACTGCCCCATGCCAGCCGCAGCCTGCCACACCACCGAGCCACCTACACCCCACCTCACGCAGTCCAGCCCAGCCCGGCCTGTACAGAACCTTTGCACACGCGGCCAGCCAGCCAGCCAGCCAGTCACCACCAGGCCCGCCCCACCCCACCTGCAGCTGCTCCAGTATGACCACCGTGTCCTTGCTGGCGCGCAGGTCCACCAGCAGGTAGTGCAGCGGGGCGCCCACGGCGGCGCCCTCCACCCCCACCACGTCGCCGTCGTACGTCATGAGCACCGGGGTGACGCCAAAGGCGCACGCCTGGTCCATCTTGCCGCACTGTGGGGTGCAGGGCGGGGAGGCGGGCGGGCAGGTGGGTGGCCCGCTCAGGAGGGAGGGCTTTGTGGCATGCGTGTGTGAGCGTGGAGGAGCCAGCGAGCCCGGCTGAGGGGCGGGGAGCATGCAAGCGCCGCGCTACCACAGCACCAGCACCTGCGAGGGCGTCATTCGCTCCCCCTCATAAGCATACTGCATCTCTCCCCGCGTGGTCAGCCTGAGGCCGTAGGCCCGGTTGAAGGCGCGCGCCACAAGCACGCACAGCGCCGCCGAAGAAGACAGGCCCTTCTTCAGCGGCAGCGTGGTCCTGTGCAGCGGGCGGGAGGGCGCGCGGGAGGGCGTCGGCCGCGCGTGCGGGCTTGGCCTGGGCCTGTGCTGTGGTGGCCCAGCTGTCCACCGCGCCAGTGCCCGAGCGCCACCCTGCTCCCTGCTGCCCTGGAGTCTCCAGTGCAGCAACAGCCAAACCTGTAGTTGTCGATGCGCAGGCCCCCCACGCCAAAGTCCACCAGCAGCCGGTAGGCAGTGCCGGCGGCGTAGGACCAGAAGCCGCCGCGCTGCGCCTCCTGCACATGTGCCACGCGGAGTGGGAGGCACCAGGGGAGAGCGGGTTCGCCTGTGTGTCTGGCGGCGGAAGAGTAGTGGCTTGTGGGATGCCTTCCCCGGCTGCAGCGCGCACCTTGGCCAGGCCCGCCTCCTCCAGAGGTAGCTCCGTCTCCAGGGTGGTCCCGTCGTCGCGCGTGGACCGCAGGCGCAGCACCGGCTCGGCGAGCGGAGCGACCCGCGCATACAGGCCCTGCTCCGTGCCCACCACGATGGTGCGGCCCGGCACGATGGCGTGGTTGTACCTGCAGCAGGCGGAGAGAGCAGGGGAGGGTGTGGCGGGTTGGGGTTGCGAGGAAGCGGCCGCTGGCGGCGGTTGGCGGCGGCTGTGGCTCCACGGCACTACGCGGCGTAAAATGCCTCTCTCACTTGCGCATATTGCCAGCCCAATCCGAGTGCTCTCCAAACATGCACAACCGGCCTGGCACAAAGAGCTCAAACTCGGTTGGCTGCGTTCCCACCGTCATCGTGGCTGGTTGATGGTCTGCAAGGTGGCCACCCGCGACAGGCACGTTTGGGCATGTAGAAGGCTCTCAAATCGTGTCCTGGACAAAACCCATGCTGAGCCTGTCCTGCCCAGCCTCTTGCCTGATTGGAGCACTCGGCATTGCAATGCAGTAGTTCCGTTCGATCAGCCTTTCTCCCACCTTCCCTCCCCGAGACGAGCTGTGGCCGCGGCAATCACCAAGGGCGAGAGTGTGCTGGCTGGCTAGCGCTGGCTGCAACACAGTGAGCAGGGAGCTTGAGGCGGCTAGGAGGAACAGCCGACAGCGCCAGCTTGCACACCATGCGTCCATCCCGCCGGCTCCCGCCGCTCGGTTGCCGCCCCCCATCGCCATCCTGCAGGTGTGGACCATATACATTCTAGCTCTGAGCAAGTAGTACTTAGCCAGACCCACACGCTTTCCCACCCACTGCGGCCATGCCCATGGCCCACGGCGCTGGCGGCTCGGCCGGTGCCGCCAAGCCGGCCACCCCGGCGTGGGCCACGCCCAAGCGCCTCCTGATTTTGTTCTGCGTCATGTGCCTCTTTATCTACCTGGACAGAGGTGTGTTGGGCGTGGGAAAAAGTGGCTGGGAAGAAGTGGGGGGCCAAGGGTACAGGCGAAGGGTTAACAGCGGCAATCAGAGCGGCGAGCGGCCGACTCCCGCAGCTGCCGAGCTGACCCGACCCTCGCCCGCCTCGCCCGCCGCAGGCATGATTGCGTCCAATGGGGTCAACGGCGCGGCGGCCACCCCAGAGCACCCGGCCTCTGGCATCCAGGGTGACTTTGGCCTGTCACTGTTCCAGGTGAGGAGGCGGAAGGGCCAATGGAGTGGCCGTCGGAACCTTCCCTTTCCACCTATCTCATCTGAATGCCTGCCTGCAAGCAACATCGGGGTAGCAGTTGCCGAACAGCCCACTGCCTCCCTTGCCGCACACCTGGTGTTGCTGTCCCTCACCCTGCCCTGCCCCTACCCTGCCTCGACCCTCACAGGACGGCCTGCTGCCTGCTGCCTTCATGGTTGGCCTGCTGGCCTCCTCCCCGGTGTTTGCCGAGGCCTCCAAGCACCGCAACGGCTTCCGCCTCATCGGCACCGGCCTGGCGGTGTGGACCGCGGCCGCCGCCGGCTGCGGCCTGGCCCCCGGCTTTGCCTCCCTGCTGCTCTGCCGCATGGCGGTGGGCGTGGGCGAGGCGTCGTTCGTCGCGCTGGCAGCGCCCTTCATAGGTGCGGCACCAGGACGGCGCCCGGCTGCGTATCGCACCGCAGTGCACAAACCAGCACCTTCCCCAATCGGCTCAGGCGTGGCAGCTGCCTGGTAGTTTGCTTTTGAAAGCGTGCGAGCGCTCACTTGCGTGCCCGATTGCCCCTCCCGTGCAGACGACAACGCGCCACCCACTCAAAAGGCGCTGTGGCTGGGCACCTTCTACTGCTGCATTCCCACAGGTGAGCTCGCCAGCAGCTTCCCTGCCCGCTGGCCCCAGCAGGGCCAGGAGGCGACCAGAGCCGCCGCTTGCTAGCTGCACAATGCATAAAGCACGTGCACAGGGCGCCGCCTGCTATTCCTCTCTCTGTTTAATCCACACTGTGTGGCTTCTCCCTTACTCCTGGCCTCCCCGACTGCGCTTCCTCCCCTCCTCCCCTTCCCCTGGCCCTGCCAGGCTATGCGCTGGGCTACATTTATGGCGGCCTTGTGGGCGGCTCGCTGGGCTGGCGCGCCGCCTTCCTGCTGGAGGCCGCCGCCATGCTGCCCTTTGTGGTCTTCTGCCTGCGGGCGCCGCCCATCAGCCTGCGCGGCGGCGGAAACGGCGCCGGCGCCTCCGTCTCGCACCCCCACCGCGACGACGACGGCAGCGGCGAGGGCGCGGCGCGGCCGGCGGGCCTGCTGGCGCGGCTGCGGGGCCCCGTGGCTGCTGTGGGTCAGGACCTCCGCCTGCTGGCCAGCCACCCCATCTACCTGTGGAATGTGGGCGGCATGACGGTCTATACGGCGGTGCTGGGCACCTTTGCCTTCTACGGGCCCAAGGCGGGGCGGGAGATGTTTGACATCCAGCCCGAGCGAGCCGACCTCACATTTGGAGCCATCACCGTGCTCACGGGTGAGCGAGCACGAGCACAGCCGGCTGGCTGGTTGCCTGGCTCAGCGCGCACCCACCAGCCAGCTAGCCCTCATTGCAGGCCTGCGCCGCATTTGCGCGCACTTCCGCTCATGCCACACGCCGCGTGCGCTCGCCGTGCAGGCACGCTGGGCACGCTGGCGGGCGGCACGCTGCTGGACGCCGTGGGCAGCTCCATGCGCAACGCGCTGCTGCTGTGCACGCTGGGCATCACGCTGGGCGGCGCCCTGTCGGTGGCCGCCTTCTGGGCCGCCGGCTCCTTCCCCCTCTTCTCCTTTGTCTTTGCCCTGGCCCAGATGGCCATGTTCACCAGCTCGGTGGGTGGAGGTGGCTGGCGCCAGCCGGCGCGCACACCTGTGCTGCCCTCTCCCGCTTGCCTGCCTGCCGGCCTGCCTGGCCCCGCAACAGGCCTGTTCATACCCTCCCGCGTGCGCACCCTCCCCAGCTCTACTCAGCCCCATGTGCCTGGCACAGCCCCTCACCCTGCTTGCCCGCCCCGCTGCCCTGCCGCCACCGCAGGCGCCCAGCAACGCGGTGAGCATGTGGTGCGTGCCCACCGCGCTGCGCCCCTTTGCCGTGTCGATGTCGGTAGTGGCAATACACGTGCTGGGGGATGTGCCCAGCCCGCCGCTGCTGGGCGCACTGCAAGGCCGGCTTCAGAACTGGAGGCTGAGGTGCGCCTGGGCCGGCCGTGCGGGGCATGGGCGGGACCCCTGCACAGCTGGCCTCGTGCCGTGCATTATGGCTGGCTGCTTCTTGCCGAGTGTATGCCATTCCTTTTGCCCTTAACCCCCGGTTGCGTCAATGTGCGCCCCTGCCTCGCCACCCCGACGCCCTGCCCTGCAGCATGTCTCTGGCAAGCAGCCTGCTGCTGCTTGGTGCCGGTGCTTATTTGGTAGCAGCATCGACCGCGCTTACAGCGGTGGATTACCGGCACCTCGTGGGCGAGGAGGAGCAGCAGCCGTCTGACGGCCTGCCAGGCCGTGGAAACAGCGGCCTGGGTCTGCTGGAGGCAGCGGTTGAGGGGGAGCATTGGCAGCAGCAGCGGCAGCCAGCGGCGAGCAACGATGGGGGAGAGGAGAGCGGCGAGGCGGGGGCGGAGCGCAGCGCCTGGGTTCCGGGCTCCCAAAACGTCCCAATGGTGCCCTTTGGGGGGCAAAGAAAGCAGCTGTTGGGGGCAGGTGGGGGGCTGTGCCCCTGCTCAGGCCAATTTATTGGCATGCAAATTGCCGAATTAAATGGTATATGAATTGATCACGGGAGCCCCCTACAAGCCAACCCCCCTGGCTTGAACGCGCTCCAGCACTCGGTGGAATGCCTCCCGTGGTTTGGCGGCGAGCGCTTGCGGCGGCGGCTGCGCCGGGCTGCGCCCAGGGGGCTGCGCCCAAGGTAGGTTCGAGCATTGGTGGCCTCCACTCGCTCATTTCGCTCGCAAGCTATTGTGTCGAAGGGCCGCAGCGGATGACATGATGCTCGACCGGAGCCCAACCGGAGTAGAAGACCAGCGGTTGCTCCGTGCCTGCTGTTCAGATATCTCTCCAATCGCATTCGGAAGTCACTGCAAGTTGCATCCGCAACTCTGCGCCGCCATCCAGCGCGCAAACCTTCACGCGGACGGCCTCATCGCTTCGCTCGACACAGGTCGCCCCCCCCCGGAGCTTGCAGCCTCGCCTGAAGCTGTTCAGGAGCCGTTTATCGAGGCCCTCCTCTGGCGAAGGTGGTCTCCCCCTCCGTGCGATCCTCCTCCGGTGTATCCCCGTGACACCCCCGCGGAAAAACAGACCAGACTGCCCTCCCCGCCCCAGTGGAGGATGAAATGGCGTCCAAAGAAGTCTCCAACGCCTCTGTAGACACTGCACATGCGTCCGGCCGGGCGCAGCAGACCCGGCGGCGGCAGGCCGCGCCGCTCGTCTGCCGCATGGCGGGGTGCACGCAGCAGCTGCGCCGCAGCTACAACCAGGCAAGCCTGGGTACAGGGGCAGGTCGAGCGTGACAATCAGCCGGACCAGCAGTGCCAGCCTGTGCATGCGCGGGCCTGGAGCTCACACCATAGCTGCTAGTCAATGCGTGACCGCCGCCCGTCGATTTGCCCTGCCTCTCACCACCTGCAGGTGCACCGCATCTGCCCTGAGCACCGCAGGCTGCTGCGCATTGTGGCCGAGGACGGCAGCTTATGGAGGTTCTGCCTGCAGTGTGCCAAGCTGCACACCATTGACGAGTTCAGCGGCGACCGGCGCAGCTGCCAGGCCAGCCTGCTGCTGAGGCGGCAGCGCAAGCGGGACCGGCAGCTGGCAGAGCTGGAGGACCATGAGGAAGCGCTGCGGCCCAGCAAGCGGGGAAGCGGCAAGGAGGAGCGGGAGGACAGCCAGCGGGCCAGCAAGCGGGCGAGCAGCCACAAATCAGCGGCCGCCGAGGGCAGCGGTTCTGCCTCGCAGCAGAGCGCCCGCCAGGAGGAGCCGACGAGAGGCTCCGAGAACAGCGGCGTGCCGCCGCGGGAGCCGCAGGCAGGAGCGTGGTGGGAGGTGGAGCAGAGCCAGCTTGTGTGCAGCGCAGGGCCCCAGTCTATGCAGCAGCAGCTGTCCATGGTGCTGTCAGGCACGCCCTCGCTGCTATCGGCCGGCTCATCGGCGGGCTACTGGCACCCAGCCGTGTCGCCCCAGTACCAAACGCCCCGCCACTTTGAGAGTCATCTGCGGATGCACCAGCAGCAGCAGACCCAGCAGCAGCAGCAGCAGGTTGTGGAGGGGTCGCCGCAGCAGCCCATCATCGTGCTGCTGCAGATGCACCAGGCATCGCCGCCACCGGCCGAATGGCAGCTGGGCGTGACGCAGCACCAGCAGGCAGGCACCGGGCACCCGCACCCTGCACAGGCGGACGTAGCCGCGGAGGGGCCTGTGCAGCCCATTGTGGTGGAGGTTATCGAGCACCAAGCCCGCCCTCTTGTGCCCATGCCATCGCCCAGCTCGACCACCCACCCTCCCACCCAGCGGACAGTGCAACTGCTTGACAGCAGAGCTGGCAGTGCACTCGAGGTGCGGGTTGCAAAACGCGCTCAGCGAGCGCTTGCAGTGTGCACCGTGCCCTTCCATCCCTAACCCCGACACGTTCCCATGTGCCACCCCAGCGCTGCACCTCTGCCACCCTCCTTGAGATCTGCTACACCGCCTGGCTGCAGGGACCAGACCTGGGGCTGGAGCTGCCCAGCGAGGCCGAGCTGCTGAGCATCACCCAGGACCTGGGCCTGTTTGCCCACCTGGAGCAGCCGAGGCCGCTGAAGGCGCCCGCGCAAGGACAGCTGGTGCAGCCAGCACGCCCCGACGTGCAGGCGCAGCTGGAGTGGGACGCCAAGGAGGATGACGAGCTGTGGCGCATGATCCAGCACCAGCCGTGGCTGGGCGGGGCCAGTGGGTTTGCCCCTACCCCGTGATGGTGCGGCAAGCGGCCGGGCCGCCTACCGCTGCAAAATCCTGCGTCACTGCCATCTGTTGCCTGCCACTCCCACTATGCTTGAATTTTGCTGTCGATCTACTCACTCTTCAGGGCCGAACCCGCTGTCTGTTGCTGTCCCCACCTTTGTCAACCGCATTCTCTATGTTGCACCCCTGTTACGCCACATCGTGGCGTGTAACTGGCCACATTTCATTTCACCAGCAAGTGAGGAGGCCCTTCGTTTGCCGCCTGGTGGCTCTGCGCCCCCTGTTGGCGCCCCCGCCCATGTGGCGCATGTGGCACGCTGGCTTCTGGATCGGGCTACGGCCAGTCTTGTGGAGTTGGGCTCTGTACGTGGGATCAGAGCCCGTGATCTGGGGGGAGAAGAGCCTTGCACACATGTACTGTAGACTTACGGGTTGCGGACCAAATCGGCCACAGAGCTCCGGATCCCCCATCATCAGCGGTTCAAGAAAATTCCACTCACTCCTTAACATATCCAGTCCACACATTTGTGCCTCCACCACTCGTTGTTTGGGCTGTCCCACAGCCTGGCACCAGGCTGTGACCACTCTTCCAGCCCCAGCGCTACAGGTTCTGAACACTCTTCCAACAATTCTTTTCTACGCAACCACTCAAACCGCAATATCATCGAGCCCATATTCATCCATCCAGCGCAAAACCACTCCCATCGGACGGCCCCACTGCGATCACCAAGTGCGTCCAGACGCCTTGTTTGGCGCCCCACACGCGTTCTGGAGATCCCCACATGGGCTTCAGCCGAGCAGAAGCTCGGGAGCTTGTGGCATTCTGCCTCCGGAAGTCACATTGCTCTCCGGCTGCACCCTCACGTTGCGAGTTTGTGCCCGCAGGAATGCAACCCCTCGCTCCTGCCCACCGTCTGGAGCCTGCAAAGGCCTGCCAGGAGCCCCCCCGCGCATCGGCCGGCGCGGCAACACCCTGCGGCTCTGGGCGGCGGCAAGCTGCGCCGCTCGCCTGCCGCATGGTGGGGTGTAGGCAGCAGTTGCGCCGCAGCTACAACCAGGCACGCCCTCTCTCTTGTGGCACTGCCCTGATGCCTGTGGGAGGCCGTGAAGCGTCAGAATGCAGCATGGGTGGCTGGCAGCCGACCACTGCCTCCTGGCACCAGTACGCAGCGCTCATGATGCTGCTCCTGCCCTGCCCCGCAGGTGCATCGCATCTGCCCCGAGCACCGCAGATCCCTGCACATCGTGGCAGAGGACGGCGTTGTATGGCGGTTCTGCCTGCAGTGCGCCAAGCTGCACACCATTGACGAGTTCAGCGGCGACCGGCGCAGCTGCCAGGCCAGCCTGCTGCTGAGGCGGCAGCGCAAGCGGGACCGGCAGCTGGCAGAGCTGGAGGACCATGAGGAAGCGCTGCGGCCCAGCAAGCACCCTAGCAGCCACACAGCTGCCACCACCACGAGCAGCGGGCAGGCCTCTCTGCAGAACAGCCGCAGGGATGAGCGCTGCTCGCAGGGCAGCGGCGGCAGCGTGCCGCTCCAGCAGCAGCCAAGCTGGCCGTCGCTGGAGCAGGGTCAGTGGCCCTGCGGTGCTGCTGGGCAGCATCAGCGGCAGCTGTCTGCCCCGCTGGCGCCGTCCTCCTCGCTCCTCTCAGCCGGCTCGGGTTCAACCGGCACCGGCTGGCAGGCGGTGTCGCCTCAGCACCGCATGCCCTGCCACGGCGACGGCTCCCAGCAGCTGCTGGCTCCCACGCAGCCAATCATTGTGCTGGTGCAGCTTGCGCAGCCGCAAGCTCCCACCACAGCGTCTCCCCAGCAGGCCAGGCCAGCGCCCCTGCCATCACGCGACTGCACCCGCCACCTTCTGCGGCAGCAGTGCAGCCTGCCGACGCCAGATCCACGTGTGCCCATCCCCAGCTTGACAGAAAAGGCGCTGAGGCTGCTGGACGACATGGTTGTTGTGGAGGTGCGCAACGGGCTGGCATCTCCTGTGCGCCTCTGTGTCTGCAGTGCTCCGCTGCGCAGTTGCTTGTGTGCGCCAGGCGCCAGCTGGTGTTGTGTGGGTTGAGATGATGCGATGTCGTGAACTCTGGCCGCCTCGCTGCTCCCGCTCACTGCCGCCCTGCCGCTCCCACGTGCTGCTGCAGCGCCCCGATGCGTCGGATGTGCCCAGCGAGGCCGAGCTGCTGAGCATCACCCAGGACCTGGGCCTGTTTGCCCACCTGGAGCAGCCGCAACAGCCCGCGCAGCTCTGCCGGGTGTCCCCTCCGGCATACCTGTCCCAGCCAACGTACCCGGCCCCGCGGTCCGATTGGGATCTAGAGGGGGACGAGCTGTGGTTGAGCATCCGCCAGCACTCAGACATGGACAGCACCTGCATCTTTGTGCCCAACCCCTGAATTCTGCGCCCTATTGTTTCATATGCGCCGCACATGTGCCGGTCGCTGTGCCGGTGCCGATTCTGCCATTCTTTGCGGTCGAACCACACATTGCGCATTCTACTGACTGCTTTTCATGAAACGTGTTTTTGTCTGCTCCTGCTGAACAATTGTCCTCTCCATTTTTGTGGCTGTTGCTGGGGTGCCTGTGATTACGCCCGGCCGGGAACTAGCATTTCTCAATTGATCTTGCCACCAATCCAAAATGCATCCGTTGATGCTATTGCAAGCAGCCTTTTATAACATTTTTTTCTTTCTTCATGAGCTTATGCTACAGCAATCATTTGAGTCAAGTTTGCACAGTTCACGCATCACTTTCCAACCGCAACCACTCCTCACACCTCTCCCTTTCTCGCTGTGCAGTCAGCCCCCTAAATGTTAACCCCTGGAACTCCCTGTTGCCAGCTCTCTGGTCCCAGATGTCCCCATTCTCCTGTTCAATTGTTTTAGGATTCTTTGACCAAACGTCCCCACCGCTTTCGTAATATGAGCGTCAGTTTCATCTCCCCGCCCTGCACTTGTAGTGCTGGCCTTGTCCATCAATGGAGCCAGCACTGCTGGGGGACTTCCCCTACCCATCAGGCTGCACCTGCAGCTGCTACCCAATGTAACCGCCTCGTTGCAGTTGGCAGGCTGGGAAGTCCCAGCATGTGACCAATTAACATTCCTACCGCCTCTCCTATCACCTGTCCCGTTTGTTGCAGACTGCGCATCATCCCTCTCTGGATGTGTCGTTTTGCAATACACAAACTGCACAAACGGCTGCAGTCATTTTGCCGCTGCCATGCCCCCGGCTGCTCCCTGCCGCAGTGCGCCGCGTTCCGCCGGCCTCAGGTTGCTCTGCAGGCACTCCTCGTCGTTTGCCGCGCACGGCTGGCAGACCTTGCAGGACAGGCGGCAGTGGCCGCGGTACGTGCCGTTGCCCCTCATGAACACCACATTGCGCTCGCACTCCCCCAGCGCTGCCCACTCCGGGCACTTGGCGTTGTTGTCTCGGCAGAAGCCTGGGTGCAGCGGCCCTGTGTTGGAGTAGGGCTCCACATGGATCTGAGGGAGGGGGCGAGGCAGGGAGGCAAGCGGGCAGGTGGACGGAAGCACACACGCCGCTCCACCATATGCCTGCCCGGCGCAAGTGTGCGGGGAGCTGGGCACAGGTCGGCGTTGCTGTGGAGGTGGTGAGCCAGGCCCGGGGCTGCACCGCTCGCACGGGTGACGGCAAGCTGACACCAGCTCCCAGGCGGAGAGCCAGCCAGCGGCAGGCACCCACCCAGGCGGTCGCGCTGTACTTCACCCCCTTGGCCACCGGGCAGCCGGCGTGCAGGCTGAAAAAGTCCTTGCTCTGGCCTGGACAGCAACAGCGCGGCGCGGCAGGAGCGGCAGGTGCGATTGCGCAGTTGGCTAGTGCTTGGCGGGGGCCACCACATCAAACAGGAGCTGCCGGCAAGCCAGCTGGAGGCTCCCCACCCAGCACACCCGCCCCATCAGCCAGCCGCCAGCCAGGCCCACCATCTGACTTGAGCGAGTAGAAGAGGATGGCATCCCCCTTGCGTGGCTTCACCGCCACCCCCCGGGAGCCGCATTCTGAGTACGGCGGCTGCGCCTGCGCCCCCTCGTCTATCCACCGCCCGTGCGGGAACGAGGTCTCCCCTCCCTCCTCCACATCTGCACAGCAGACAGCACCGCGACAGAAGGGACAGGGGTGCGACATATTTGTTCAGCAATGCCACAGTGGCATGTGCGCCTCCTACGCGTCCCCCCACCCCACCCCACCCCACACACACACACCACCACCACCACCACCACCACCAACCACCGCCCCACCACCACCGCCACCTCACCCGACAGGTACATGAGCATGGTGGCGTACCGCGACCCGCCCTGCTCCCCCCGCCGTATCGCCAGCTGCGCCTGCTCGTTGCTGCCGTGCACATCGTAGTGAGCACTGTACTTCTGGCCCAGCTCGTACCTGCAAGAACACGGGGTTAGGGTGTGGGCGGGCTGGGGCTGCCAGGTCCTCTTCTGCGGTCGTGTTGGCTGCTGGGCTATCGAATGCGACATGCCCCTCTGGTGAGCTCCTTGCCGCCGCCCGTGGCAGCGCCCACCCACTTGAGCACTTGCAGCTGCTCGCTGTGTGAGAAGGGCAGGTGGGTGGCCAGCTCGATGCGGTCCTCCACGCCGGCCACCACGCTGTCCTGGCGCTTGGTGAGGAAGGTGCCGGAGCTGCGGAGGGGACAAGGGTACAGGGAGCCCAGCAGGCAGCCGCGGTTGGCAGCCGCGGTTGGCGCAGCTGTTGCGCAGGCTCGCTGGCACGCCGCCTGGCTCAGATGGCATGCACCAGTGGAGTAATCCCACTGCAACGGAAGCGACCTGCTGAGCCCTTGCCTGGTGCGCACGCTGTCCAGCTTGCCGGAGCCGTCACGTGACACCACCTTGCTGGGCTCCAGCCGCGCCTCTGCCAGCTGTTTCAAAGCATGAGTGTGTGGAGGGGGAGGGGCGGGAGAGTGGGCAGGGATGGAGTGCCAGAGGCAGGGGTGGGGTGCGCAAGGCGCCATGCATGTGCTGTTGGCGAGCCGCTCACCGAGATCATGTGGTCGCACTCTGAGTGCGCTAAAAAGCCGTGGAGCAGCAGCGCACGCGGCTTCCAGCTGACCAGCTCAATCCTGCGGCGCACAGTGCTGGTCGGTAGGCTCACAGCATGCATGGCAGCTGGATTGGGCAAGCGTCCGGTGCTCGCTCGAGGCCTCACCATCCACGACTTGTGTTTCCCAGCTCAAAGCTTGGAAAAGCTGCAGCTGGTGCCAGCAAACCTGCAGGTGCGGGCGGAGTCGGTTCAGGCTCCGGCGACGACGGAGGCGGCGGCACACAAAGACGGCGCACCTGCTGCGGCAAGTAGCAGCGCCACTCGGGACCAGCTGCATTGCAGCGGGCCGCCGTCCATGACGGCCCCGAAGAAGAGCTGCAGCTCGGGCAGCAACCAACAAGAACAGGTCACTCGCCGAATAGGGCTGGGGCTTGCCCGCTGGCAGCAGAGAGGCAGGGTTGGCAGCAAGATGACCACGTCCCGGGGCTGTTTACGCCACGTTTTGAGAAAATCCGGGTGACGTGGCAACACATGGGTGCCGCATTTTTGCGCGTGGCGATGACATGGGGTATGAGCTGCATGCTGCTTGTTTATCACTTTGGAGCAGCGTCCAGGTTCATCCGCCACCCCACACATCCAGGGGAACCACCAGGGCTGCGCAACACAACGCAAGAGGCTCCATTCCACAGATGCCGGATGACGCAGTATTCGAATAAGAGTGACATAGGTTAAAGCCAGAGGTCAGGGCGGCAGAGGTGGTGTCCCACGCCGCCGCCGCCGCCACTGCCACACGATTATTTAGGGTTAAAAACACGGACGGCGCCCCAGCCGGTGCGAAGAAATGGCGGGGCCAGCAGTAGGAGCTGCTGACGGGCGCCAGGGCGCTCCACTCCTGTCGAGCTCAACTGACCGGGTCGGTTCTAGGTGCGTTAAGCGCAGCAGGCAGCCTTTGTACTGAGCCCGCCTTCGCACTTGAGGCGGGCTGCTTAGCTGTTTCTTGCAGGTCCCTGATCAAGCTGCTCCTCACCCTGGCCTGTGTGGCAGCCCTCGTCTCGCTTCCCAGCGCCTACAGATACTGGCGCCGCACACCGACGGCGGCGCTGCCGGATGGGAGAGTGCGCCTGGTGGGTTGCCTGGATGAGGTCTGGCACCCGGCCTGCCCCGCACCCCTGTGCCTGGCCTGCATCGCACGCTGCCCAGAGATCTGCGCCCCGCCTGCAGGCAATCCTGTCGGACACACACATTGCTGGGCCAGAATACCCCCTCAATGGCGAAAATGGCGCCCTCGACAACGCCTCCATCACCAAGACCCAGCAGCGCCTGTTCCGAGTGGTTGCGGCCCTCAACGCAGTCAGCCCTGCACCCCAGGTGGGCAAATCGTGTGTTCTGGCATGGGGCCGCCGCTGCCTGCCAGTCAGAGCCGAAGATTGGAGTTACGCGTGGCCACAGCATGGCCCATGGGTTTGCATGCTGCTCCTGCTCGGCTGTGGTGCAGCTGGCGCTGTTTGGCGGCGACATTGTGCACAACGGGCTGGAGCGGCTGCGCAGCCTGGGCCTGAACGCCACCGGGCTGGCAAAGCTCTTCTCTGAGCCTGTCAATGGCTACACGATTGCCGGCGGTATCCTCCAAGAGCTGCAGATGGAGAAACTGTTTGCCTGGTGAGTGCTGTTGTCATGAGAGGGCTAGATTTGGGGTGCACACCTTGCGCACAGGCCTGCATCAGGGCGCAGGGCTGTTTGTGCTGCCTTGGCAGGCCAGCGGGCACCTGGCGACCCGCCCAGAGCACCCTGCCGCTGCCTCCTCATTCGCTTTTTGCCGCTGCACCCCCCTGCGCTACCACTCGTTGGTGCCGGCGGCAGGGGAAATCACGACAAGCTGCTACAGTGCGGCGACCCGGCGTCCTCGGCCAGCCGCCAGCTGTCGGCGCACCTGCTGCGCCATTACTTCCATGCCGCTGGCGTGGACTATGGGTCTCGCGACCTGGGGCCTCACTGGAAAGTGGTGGCGCTCAACTCGATGCTAGGTGGGGCCGGCACCCTGCCAGCACTGTGCATCCGTGCCACCGCATAGACGCTGCTGCTGGGTCGACAGTGGATGCCGATCGGCGGCCCACACGGGGCTGCCCTGTCCTGCTGCAGGCTACACGTGGGATCCTGCAGATCCACGATGCAATGGCTTGTGAGCAAAGCAAGACAAGCAGCTTAGCCACGCACTGTATGAGATGGCTCAGAGTTTGATTGCATGCATGCATGTGGCAGCTGCCTCTCAGCACAAAGTGCACTGCTCAGGCGCCTGGCCTGCCGACATGGCCCTGGCAATACCCCTGCAGGATGTCGTCCTACGGGGAGGAGCAGCTGCGGTGGCTGGATGGGCAGCTGGCGGAAGGCAAGCACACCCTGATCATGGTGAGCACGTTTGGGCCTGCCTCTGCCTTGTCCCTGGCTGCCACAAGCACCACTCACCGGTGGGCACTCCCGCCCGCCTGCAGATGCACTTCCCCCTGCACACCTCTGTGCTCGGCGAGGTGCCCACCGAGGCTGGCTGGCGTGACCTGCGCACCGTGCTGACCGCGCACGACAATGTGCGGCTGGTGCTGAGCGGCCACTGCCACAAGGTGAAGAGCCACGGCGGCCTGGCAGGCTGGCAGGGCAGGCCAGCAGGCGCGACGTGCCCTCGCAGGGGCTGGTGGATTGGCAAATTTTGGCTACTGCTCCAGGCCACAACACACAGATGGCCTGTGTAATCACGCCCCTGTGCATGCTCCTGTGCACTGCAGGGTATAGACTGGCAGGACCTGTACGCCTTCCCCGCCTTCACCGTGCCCTCCACGCGCTACAGCGCCCAGAACTTCCGCATCCTGGACCTGCACCCGGATGGCAGTTTCGACACTGTGGACCTGGACAAGAACCGGGGCGGCTCCCGCTGCAGCGACTGGTGGAGCTACCAGGGCACCCCAAAGTTTGTGGCAAAGTGGCAACCCCGAGACGCCGGTGGGGTGGCGGCCGGCGCCAGTGCCGAGCGTCAGGATGGCACTGGCGGTTGCGCACGCTGGGCGTGCTAGCCACGATACACTATACACACTGTCACTCGTGGCAATCTCTCTGGGCTTTGCAGGCGACTGCGGCTCCCCTGCTGCGGGCGAGGAGGACACCTTCCCGCTTTCTCCAGTCCTCTCCCCAAGCGACATCCCTAGTCAGGACGTTTTCAATCCAGGTGCGCAGCCGGGATCTCCTGCGCAGCCCTTGCCAGCTCTCAATCCCGCAACGCTGCTGACCCATCCCTGCTTTTGCTGCATGCATGCAGAGCGCTCCTGCCAGTTTGTGCTGGCGCGGCAGGTCCTCCAGGCGTGTGCGGCGGGCGCCAGCCAGGACTGCTGCGATGTGGTGGCCGACCAGTTCTACCTCTCCTCCTCCGCCCCCTTCTCCGCCTGTTTCTGCCAGCCCAGCTTCTGGCAGCAGTCTGTGGAGTACATGCAAGAGTGGCACGGCGTCCAGCTGGCCGCCACCCTGCACCACTGCTTCGCCGACTTTGGCAAGCTGATTGTATTTCGAGGCGGGCCGGGAACCTGGTGTCCTGCCGCGGCATGACCCTCTGTCTCATTTAGAGGGGCTGAATGGATTAACGGGCTGCAAATGTCGGCCCTTTGTTCACATTTCGCTGCACCGTTTCCGCCGCCACCCGCCGCCACGCTGGGTGCGCTGCCGCCACCCTGATGCCCAAGCGTGGTGATCCACCAACCCTTTTTGGCCTGGCGCGTGAATTGAGGACGATCTGCTCCTTGTGCACTCGGCTGCAGTGGTTGCAAGGATGAAGGGGCTGTGGGGTTCGCTGGTCCTGCTCTGCCAGGCCGCCGCGCTATTCCAGTCTGCGGTCAGCGCGAGCTGGAGTGCCATGTGGTACATGCCCATCGCCCTGGTCTCCGCTGTGCTGCGCCACCTGCTGCCTGGCTGCGACGGTCGCTGCGACGGCAGCGCCCGCTTCTACGAGGTGAGAGAAGGCTAAGGGATGGCCCCCTGCTGGCCACAGCGCGCAGGGCTCCAGCCGCCTTGGCCCCTGCCTTCACCGTCACACCCGCCGCCGTCTGCAGGGCGTCGTGAAGCACTTGCGCAAGCAGCCTAAGGAGCACCGATTCAGGTGCGGGGTTGGCGCGGCTGCGCTAGATCCACAGGTAGTGCATGCCAACCAAGCTGCTGTTGCAGGTTGCCCATCTGCACAAGTTGCCGATGAAAGTGCATGATCGTGTGCCACGCCTGCCACCTGGCCTGCCTGGCCCCTTCGTGGCGCTGCCTGCAGCTACCAGGTGCGCATGGCGGTGGTGGACCTAGACAACGCACCCAGCTGGTGGAAGCGCTCCAAGAACGAGAACATGACGGCGGCAGAGGCCCGGCGGCTGGCGGGCACCGCAGGTGTGGCTGCCAGTCACTCGCACACCGTGGCATCATGTGCCGCCACCTCCCTGCCGTCCATCCTGCCAGCCCTGTACTGATCCCACTACGTGCTGCACCTCCTGCTCCTTCCCATCGTCCTCGCCTCTTCAGTGCCACCTCTAATACGCTGTCGCCGCTGCCTTTCGGCCGCAGGCCCGGTGCGGCTGCTCACCCACCCATCCAGCGCGGGCTACACCCAGAACCCCATCTCTGTCTACTACTGCTACAACGCAGACAGCAGCCAGCTGGAGCAGTGCATAGCAGAGGTGACCAACACGCCCTGGGCGGAGCGGGTCACCTTCCTCTTCAGGTAAGGCAGGGAGCTCCAACTTCAGCTACCACGCTTTCTTTTTTGTCGGCCTCCACAACACGAGCTGAGAGCTGGCAGGATCCCTCCTCGCTCGGCACACGGCATGTACGGCGCGGAGGCCTGTGGCCCGTTACACATCACCACAGCGCCCCCCCACCGGCTGCCACAGCAGCAGCACCACTCAGGCCACCGCCGCGCCTGCCCTTGCACGGCGCATGCAGGCCCGGCGGCGAGACGGTGCCCAAGGCGCTGCATGTGTCGCCGCTCATGGACATGCGCAGCACGTGGTGAGTTGGCTGGGTGGGTGGGTGGGTGGGTCGGGGCACACACTTTAGGCGGGACTTGCTGGTTAGCGACTGCTCTCCTTGCAGGGCTGCCAGCGCTCCAGAACCCTGCTGTGCTGAGCCCTTGCCCTGTCATGAGCGCTTGCCTGACTGCGCCCGCCACTACCTCCCCGGTCGCTGGCTACCAGGCGCATAAAGGCCACCGAGCCCCGCGAGCGGCTGTTCCTGTCGGTGGGCTGCTCTCACCCAGAGCACGGCGACTTCTTCCTGGCTTCCTTTGACGCCCGCATCAGCAGCCAGCCCCACCTGCCCAACGAGACCGCCAGCCTAGGCACCCTGTGGCGGTGCGTGACATGCTGTGGCGGGGCGTGGGAGCGGGAGGGCAGGCTGCCGGCCTGATGCTGGCCACATGCACAGCAGCGTGTGTGTACAAGCTCGCTCCAGGCGTTTGCCAGCATTGCAGCAATGCATCATTTGCCTCCCCCCTGGTCCCCTGGCGCAGGTACGGCTTCCAGCCGCACCGTGTGGCGCTTTGGATCTACTGGCAGGCTGTGCTGCTGCTGTGGAAGGGCGTGCCGTTCTATGGGTGAGCCGGGGCAATGTTGGGCATGTTTGCTGGCCCGCCTGACGTGTGTGTGATGTACCCGATGGCAGGTTGCACGGCGGCGCTGATGGGACTGGATGCCTGCTCATCCCTGCCCCACATTGTGCGTGCAGGCCGCCCGGCCCAGAGTTCAAGGCGGCGGCGGCGGCCAAGGCGCAGCACCCCAAGACGGCAGACGGGCGCTCGTTTGTGTGGAGAGGAGCGCAGACCTGGCCGTGGAACGCGTCCTGAGCCCAGAGAGGGCCCCCATTTTGTGCACTATGGAGCCAGATATAATGTATGCCTGTACGTTCTTGACATTGTGTGCGCCCAACCAGACTCTTTCATGACTGCTGCACAAGCTTTTCCCGCCACTTCCCCCGTCACACTGCACTGCAACTTCTTGCTGCTTTTTTCCTGTTCTTTCTGCTTTTGATTGGAGTTTTGGCCCTCGACTGAAATGGCTCATGCGTCGAATGCGCTGCCCAGCAAGGCCCGCCGCTGTTCCCGCTCGCCCAGCGTGTCCCAGCGCCCTCAGTCCTCGAGTGGTGTCATTGCATGGGGACCCAGCAAACATGGGGTACCTTTACCAGAACTCA